CATAGAAATTTCCAAGACATTAGTACTCTGTTATTCAAGTTTCTTCCCTAACCACCCAACAACCTGAAAATATGAGTTATTCAAAACTTCTCAAAGGCTTTAAATGAACCTACCTGCTACAGGGATCCCTCCCAGACCTGTGTTGTGCTGTGGCGGGAGATTCAAGTCCAAGAAATTACTATTTGAGGTGGGGTTTGCTGTGTGGTTCAAGTGCATGATGCTATTGCGTGGAAAGGCCATCCAAGGATAGCGGGCTGCCTGGCCTGGAAAACTGAATGAATTATAAACCGCTCGGTGCTGTTGAAATTGAGGAAACCTCTGGGGCAAGACTGAAAAGGTACTATTGAGAGAATTGGCATTTGTAGGTGCAGCAGGATGCAGGAATCCAGAACCTGAACCTTTGGCGGTTGTAGTGTGTGAAGAGGAGTTCTGAAGAGATGTGGGCGAAAGGGAAGGTTGGTCTTGAACGGACAGTTCCTTCTCAATCAGGTCTGCTAAGGCTTTTCGAGTGACATCGAAGGGATCAAAACCCAAGTCATCCTCTGGTTGTTTAGAAGAACCAAAGCCAAAAGCTGCTTGCCAGTCTGTAGAGGATGATACCGGGATTGTTTCTGTTGGGAAGAAAAATAGTGATGAATATCAAACACATAGCTCACTTTCATACTTAATAAGTATCTACTGCTGCTGGAAAAAAAAAAAGTATCCACACTACTGAAAGTTAAACATGTCATATTACAAATTAAGTATGTGTAAAATCTATGTGACTTCTTAGCACATCAAAATCATATAATTACAAAAGGCCTTATGTACTTCTAGCAGTTACTTAATTCTTAAGCTACTAGCTTCAAAAACTGAATAATATAAACTGATTTTGCTAACCAAAGGAAAAAATTTACTTGACACTCAAATTATACTCTCAACCATTCATAATCAAATCCAACCTAAGTCATTTCCGCAAAACAAATATCATTTAACAGACTTTAATTAGTAAAGTTTATTTTATAAATGTATTTATCAAAGTACGAATAATTTTAAATATATGCTTTCTATACTAAGAAAATACCTAATTTAATTTAAAAGTATTTATATTAACCCTTATAGTCTTTTGGAATTTTCTTCTTCATAGGTGCTGTTGTCAATGTTATTTTTATGCCACCTTTCATATTAATGAGAGAATTTAGAACGGATAAAAATGGAAATGGCTCAAAAATGCCAAAACATAAATGTTACTACTAAATAACTTACATCTTTGACAGCTGGGGATGGAAAATCTTAAATGTAACTATAAAAATACAAATCTAATTAAAAATATAAGTCCTTGCCAGGTGCAGTGGTTCATGCCTATAATCCCAGGACTTTGGAAGCTAGGTAGGAAGATCGCTTGAGGCCAGAAGTTCAAGACCAGCCTGGAAAACATAGCAAGACCATCTCTAGAAAAAATTTAAAAATTAACCAGGAGGATGAGGTGGGAGGATCACGTAAGCCCAAAGTGTGAGGCTGCAGTGAGCTGAGATCACGCTACTATACTCCAACCTGGTTGAGAGAGCAAGATCTCCATCTCCAAAAAATAAAAATAAAAATTCCCAAAGAATAAGTTTTTACTATTGGGAAAATAATATAACCCTTCACTTCTGGAGAAATCTTTTAAAACAGTAATTTCTGGGTCATATGACAATGTATCTAACCACCTAATTCCATGTAGTTTAAATGTTTACATTTTTATTAAAAGAGAAAAGAGAGGCAAAAGATAAAAATATATCCACTAATGAGTTTCATGTTAATCTGTACACAATATGTTAAGAGCATAATTACTAATACTTGGTACTACTGTTATATACCTGATGTGAAGAGGCTTTGTGGTTCTGGTGCTGTAGGCCAGTCACTGGATGTCTGTGGGGAGCTGGGGAAAGGAGGAAGCCCACTTGGGATAGGGTTGGGATGGCGAAAATTGTCTGAGAACAACGACTGTGACTCTGTTACTGCCCCTTCAAAAGGGGACCGCGCACTGTGATTGGATGAACTGATGGGGATGACTGGATTGGATTTTGACAAACCAGGTGGTGGTGAAGGCGTATCACTGTTAGATATCTGAATAAAAAAGGAAAACAAACAATAACTACATGTTTATACATTTTAATAAGGCACAATTAAAAGGTCTGCAAGTAACTGTATTAGAATAGTGCTTTGGAAACTATAGTACTTGAAGACTTTTTAACGAAAGCATGGAGTTTCAGAGAATCAATTAAATCATTAACTTACATATATACTCTGTAAAAAAAAAAAAAACTAATCTCCCTGAAAAGACTAAACGAGTCTCCTTTCTTTTTATAACTTTCTCTCACTTTACAAAGAAAAGAATATTTCTCATTCTGGGATCTTATTATAGTAATTTGCTCAAGAGTGAAAACTTCCAGAGGCCAAACACAAATTATTAGAAGTACATGGACCGGCGATAAGAGAGTAACTGACTGTAATGACTATAACTTTTGCATGCTAATTCTCAATATTATAGTTTTCAAGAAAATTAGAGGAAGATCTAATTAAGTTGTTTCCAAACACATCATTAAAATGTTTTACATAATAAATCTTTGTATGATTCTTAGGTATTTAATTCAGAGGAAATTGAAAGACTTGAGTGATACTGATATAATACTCCTTTTTCCATTTACCTATTTATATGAACAAAATGTCTCAACACTTATATCTTAGAAAAATAAAAAAAGTGACTAGATTGCTGCTGAAACTTTGCACTTTTACGAAAAAGTAACATTCATCCAGTGATACATAAAAGCTAATTTAAAAATGGCCCTATTCTTCATTAAAAGATGAATTTCCAATATAATTTTACTATATATAATTATATAAACATAAATATAACAATTATGTTTCATGGTTTTTAAAATCAAAATCTACGTTTATGTATGTTGTCACCTCAGTATTACTAATAAAATTCAGAAGACAAAAATTGGCATTTGAAGTCTGTGACCACAAAAACATTTTTATTTCAATTCAAAAATTTATATGGAAAAAACAGTATATGAAAAGCATATACTTCTTTCAAAAATATATATTTATTTTTGAATATATATTTATTTTTGAAAGAAGTATATGCTTTTCAAGCAAAAACTATATTGCATTAAGATAAAACTCCATAATAACAGAAAGAGAAAAATTAGTTCACAGAAAAAAATAATGTAAAACTTCTGATTGTTAAAGGAGAGCATATGTATTTTTTTAAATGGATGACAGGATAATAAAATATGATTATGATCAAAACATGAGATATCAAAACATTATATTTCTCAGATACTAATATTTCTAATATGCTGGAAATTACATCCTTTGCAACTACTTATAACCTGTAAAAAATTTTAATGTGCAACTAAAATATACAAGGGGATATACAGATTTCCACATTCTTTTACAAAATGTGTCAGTAAAATGCTTGGAAAAGCATTATATTTTAGATCTCTAAGTTTTTCACAAATACTGTGGAGGACTGGCTACTCTTTATGGAAGGGACTAAACTACATTTATTTTACCAATGTAAGAAGACGCATAGAAACTCAAGGAGTGAAAAACTAGTTAAAAAAAAAAAAAAAGTTCCCTGAGTAACAAGACAAGATGACACAAAGCATGCTCTAAAGGTCAGCACTCCATTCAGTTTCATAGTGGACTCAACTTTGAACAGCTTATCTGGCTCATCATTTCAAAGTTGATAGTCATTTGAGGGAAATAAGAGGGGAAACTGTTAGGGACAAATACACTGACTGAAACAGAAAATTAAAATAAACAGCAAGGGGAGTATGTGGTAGGAATACAATTCTAAAAAGCAAGAACTCAGAAGGCATGCTAGCCTGGGACCATTTGGCACAGGGTCAAAAAGACCAATAACATTATCAGACTGTAAAGATAATACCATCTGGTCATAATGATAATTCTGAGTCATTAAAAAAGGGTTAAACTGTGCTCTATATATTCTGGAGAAAAAGGCTAATTATAATACGATTAATAAAGATGTCCATCAAAAGTGTCCTTAGATTGTGTCAGTAAAGTATTTTTAGAAAATTCACCTGCATGGAATACCTTGCTTTTGGAGTATGGCAAATAAAATCAACTGATACTGCATCCAAATCTTACCTGCTGGGAATTATCACCGTTCCCTATACTGAGAGAATCTGAAGGTTTGTCAATGGGGCTGTAAAAAGAAAACAAATCAAATAAAATCAGACTAAAGTCATTTTCTGACAATAAAAACAAACTCCTCAAAAGCCCAAAAAAAAAAAAAAAAAAAAAAAAAAACCTGAAAAAAACCAGACACTTTACTATCTTAACAAACGTTTATTGAAGTACTAAGAAGTAAAACATTACATTAAATGTGAGGACACAAAGAAGTACAGGTTGAGCATCCCAAATCCAAAAATCCAAAATCTGAACTGCTTCAAAATTTGAAACTTATTGCACACTGATGTGACACTCAAAGAAAATTGGTCACTAGAGCATTTCAGATTTCAGATTGTCAGATTTGGGGTGCTCACCCACTAAGTATAATGCAAGTATCCCAAGATCCAAAAGAAAAAAAAAAATCTAAAATTCCAAATGCTTCTGGTCCCAGGCATTTTGAACTAGGGATATTCAACCTGTATAAAATCTCTATCCTTAGGAACTTACATTCTAGTTGGATGCTCCAAAAACAATGGGTAAAATAATAGCTTATAAGGGGAAAAAAGGTATTGCTTACAATTAATAAATCAAAGGTCTAATCTATCATTTATTTTTGTGCATATAATAAATACATTCCCTTTTTCAGTTTTTGAAATACTGACATTTTTCTAGGTGCTTGACAGAGGGCATAAAAGTTCTTGAATATTCTCTGTAGATTTTTAAGAGCAATATATTTAATATTTCTATATACTAATCATAACCCTAGAGAAGGCATGTGAAATGAGACAAATGAAACACATTTGTGCAAACTATTGATTCAAACAAAAACATTATCATTTTATTTTCATATAGAGAAAATGTAGTATCATGGTAAAGTAAGAGAATCACTGACATCAAATCCATTTTATCTTATCTTACTTAAAGACAAAATAAAATCTCTATAATCACTGCAAAAGTGTACTGACATCATTCCTATAACTAACTTTATTTAACTTAGCACATGAACAAAAATAGTCATGTGTTACTTAATGATGGGATACATTTTGAGACGTGCTGGTAGGTGATTTTGTCATTGTGGAAACACTAAAGTGTGTACTTATATAAACCTAGATGGCATGGTCTACTACACACTGAGGCTATATAGTGCCTAGTGCTCCTAGGCTGCAAACCTGTATAGCATGTTTTGAATACTGCAGGCAAATGTAACCTAAGGGTAAGCATTTGTGTATCTAAATATATCTAAAAATAGAAAAGGTACAGTAAAAAGGTTATTTATAACTATATTGGACCACTGTTGTATATGTAAGGTTATTTATAATTATATTGGACCACTGTTGTATATGTGGTCCATCCATTATTGACCAAAATAACACATTGTTATGCAGTACATGACTGTACCATTACTCAAATGTGTTGTTCTGATACGTGTAAGGAAAAAAATTAAGATTTTAAATTTCTTAAAATTATTTTATTTCCTGAAAATATATACAAAGTCCCCTTTCAAAAAGGTAACTTACTGGTACCATATTTAATTGTTCTAAAAAAAAAAAAATCTAACAAGGGCTAGTACGCAATCTGAATCCCAGGTGCATCTTCTGCAGACATTGCCATTTGTTCTTGATTATAAGCAAACAGATTTGAAATTTACTTAAAGAGCATTTTTACTTACTATTCATAAAATAGCAACAAATCAATGAATATTAAGTAATGTGGGTAATGCAAACAGTTTAAAGACATAGCCCTGAATTCACTAAGTTGGGGAAAGGAAATAAGTGCACAGAGAAGACAAGTGCAGACAAACATCATCCAGTGCTTTTATCAAATGAACTGTTTAAATAAAAAAAATGCCATAAACCTTTAGAAGAGAGCAAAGCTACCACGAGTGGGACAATTAGGGAAAGTATCCTAGGGGAGTTCAAATTTAAGTAGGTCCTTAAAAAGATTTACCCATCAGGAGAAGAAAGAGGGGAAGGGGAAAGAACAGCATTAAAGGTAGGAATACCTTCTGTGTCAAGGGTCAAAAAGTTGGAGACAGTGTTGGGAGAGCTAAGTAATTAGTTTAGCTAATATATGGGATAGCTGAAATAATAATGGAAGGTAAGGACAGAAAGGTAAACATAGGTTACACTCCAGAGGCCACAGAAATGACCTAAATAAGCAGTGTTTTAGAAAGATTAATTTGGTGGTGGAACATAATAGTGATAATCCAAGATAAACTTGCAGTAATACTATGGTAACAAGGGCTTCAAGTTGAGAGAAAGAGGTAGTAACAGAAATAAAAGGCTAAAAGAAAGATATCACAATCGACAATTTCTAGTGTCTGGATCTTGATTCACCTTCCTAGCCTCCATCCAATTTAGCGTTTCCATAAGAGCACTAAATAATAATTTTCAATATAAATGAGGTCTTGCTACTGGCTGGGGCAACAAATGAAAATATTACATAAAAAATAAATCTTAAGGATGTTTCTGGATTACAACTAATTAGAATAACTTTTATCACCTTGTCCACCATTCTAACTGCAATTTCCCTACGTACTGATTCATAATACTTTATGCTTTACCTGGGAAAGTTTTATCTAAGATGTTTAAAAATTTGTAGATTGTGTTATCTAGCCAATAATAGCTGCTGAAAAATCAGGATTATGGCAAGAGACCAGTAAATTTATGTTCTACTCAGTTTTACCACATTATTCTCAATTTATTTTAACAATAACTAACAAAGGAAAAATAAATGAAAAGCTTTAAGAGTAAAGATATAACTAGAAATTATTTTATTTTCTATGTGGGCTATAACAAGTCATTATAGTTATACCTGATATTATATTAATAAGTGGAGCTATCAGTGGAAAAGAAGAAAAGAAAGATAGAAGAATACCTGAAAATACATAGGTAACCCCAATAGAAAGAAAAAGTACATTTACAAATTCCAATTAATGTGAACTCCTTGTTTCTCTAATGGCTAGAGAGAAAAGAGTTATCTCGAGACTACTACCAACAGGTCACAGTCCTCACAACTCCACTGGCATCAGATATAGAGCTTCCCTCCCCATTAAGCACTGTGTTTGCTTAAGCTGTGGTCATATTAATAAATTTGTTTTACTTTCAGCATCCACCCACCCATTATCGTGCCAAGAGGGTAAACTGCTAAGAAAATGAAAACTTTAATAAATACCATATTTACTCATGAAGAGACACCTATTCCATGAAACAAGCTATTCCCTGGTCAAAAATTGCCAGGTTCAAATGTTATCAGATATTAGAATTTGGGTGCACTAAGATAAATTGCACAGGGCTTTTTATTTAAAAGCAAAAATAAACCTACAGCTTTTCTTAAATCAACCTCTTTCTACCAAACTAAACAAAATTACTTGCATTTTGAAGCTGAAATTCTGTTATTCATTCCATTTTCAATGGGAGAGATTCTTTTAAAAAACCGTTTGTACAGCATAAAGCAGTGGGGCAGAAGCTGCCTAGTAAGGGAAAAAGCTAGAAAGGTGTTTGAAAACTGAAGATATCAATTCTGTCCTCAAGGACATAATCAAAGAAAAGCAGATAATATAAACTGAACTAAAACAAAGACTGATAGAGACAAAAACAGAGGTTGACAATCATCTCTGAAAAGGCTAGGAGTTAAGAAGACTGACTACACCTATACTTTACTCATACACTGAAACTGTCATGATGCTAAAAGAAGGAGAAATCAAGATATTGAAGTCCATAAATACCATGCAGTTCATTGAAAAGTACTAGATTCAAGTGGGACTAAGAAGTACTAATATCAAATCTGGCCTCATAACACACTCAGAACACAATCAAGGTATTCCAAGAAGGCAATATTGTATGTATAAATCCCTGTAGATAAAAGTTCAAAAACATAAATTTTCATACAAGTGATCTCACTATTTTTTTTTTTAAGTTTCAGTCCCAAATTGTTTTAAAAAACCATGGTGAAACTACATCTTTTTTTTTGAGACAGTCTTGCTCTGCTGCCCAGGCTGGAGTTCAGTGGCATGATCTCAGCTCACTGCAACCTCCACAACCCGGATGCAAGTGATTCTTGTGCTTCAGCCTCCCAAGTAGCTGGGATTACAGGTGTGTGCCACCATGCCCAGCTAATTTTTGTATTTTTAGTAGAGGCAGGGTTTCGCCATGTTGGCCTGGCTGGTCTCAACCTCCTGGCCTCAAGTGATCCACCAGCTTTGGCCTCCCCAGGTGCTGGGATTCAGGTGTGAGCCACAGCACCTGGATGAGATTACAGATTTCTTAGGAGCAAATATTTGTAAATTAACCCAAAAGTGTGACAGAGCTTTTTAAAATACATACACACGCAAAATATATACATATTTATTTATTTAAAGTAAAAAGTATATATCCAGACTGCAACACTGGGAATTCTGATTCAATTAGTCTAAATTGAGGTGTCTGGCATTTGATGATCACTGCAACAGAGAAGAGGAACACAATGAAAAGGCATCAAGACTCCTCAAAGTCTCTTAAATTATTAGATTTCACAAGTAGAAGGAATCATTAAAATCAAATGTAAATACCTTGTTTTACAGATTAAAAAAATCAAATTAAAGACTGTCAGCAAACAGGTAGTCACTGACACAGCTGAGTCTCAGTTTGGATCTGTGGATGTTCAGCCAAGTTTTGCTTTGTTCTAACTTGCCCCTAAGGTAATGCTTGAATTTTACTTTCTTTTACTACTTCTGTAATGGTGATGCCAACCAAATTACTAAACATAGTCTCATGATTGCTTTTAAAAATTTGCAACATAAACCAATTATACAATAGAAGAATCAAAGAAAAAACATTTTCAAGGATGGGCGTGGACTAACAAAAATGTTAGCAGAATTGGTTCTTCTGCTTACCAAATGCAGAAGAAAAATAGTCCAAGTGATTTATTAATTTTCACTTACATTTTAAACATAAGATAAAATTTACTTACATTTTAAACATAAAATTTACATAAGGATAAAAGTCAATATAACAGACATTTCCAAATTTCGCTGTCAGGTTACTATCTATATAAATAAATATTCATTTTGCTTCTAAATTAAATACTCCTATCTATATTCATTTCAAAGTATCTATCTTAATTTTCCTGTTTATCAGAGTCCCTAAGTAATTCTGAGATATTTTTAAACACTTGCAAACACAAAGAATATATTCAAGTTATCAACAGGTAAAACTTGCCTTTACAGAATATACTTTGACACAGGCTTCAAATATACATAAACATCTGAAGTATTACTTTGCTACTAAAACATGGCCATATCTAAGTGGCATAATTAGCTATTAGCAGAGCAAGAAGCTGGGTGCAGCAGCATGTGCCTATAGTTCCAGTTACTCAGGAAGCTGAGAAAGGAGGATCACTTGAGCTCAGGAATTAGAGGCCAGCCTGGGCAACACAGCAAGATCCTGTCTCTTTAGAATAAATTTAAAAACAAAAAAATAAAAGGGCAAGAAAATATGCCTCATTAAACCTAGAATAATTGTAGTTATGTAAATATGATTTTAATTAGAATTCCCTCATAACCCCATGACCTACTTAACATGAATGAAAATAAATGTTTTGGTAACTATTAGTAAGTACAGAGCATTAGTTGTTAATAATAAAGTTGAAATATGGACATCTACTATCCTAAACATATCACAAAATGTGGTAACCTTTCAAAAACAGCAAGTCTCCACTTATTTTAATTTTGTATTTCAGTAATACACTTAATCTTTTTAAAAGATTTAAGTTAAACCTAAACACACAGCTTCTCACTTGCTTCACTTTTATTCTGGGAAATAAGGGCAAACACAACCCTATCTCTAAGTGTTCCTCCCACACACACTCATTCCACCCCATCCTCTGGGACAAATACTTTAGACAAGTGGTTCTAATTCTTTTTTGACTATATTCGACTTAAGTGGGGCAAGATACCCCAGTTCACTTATTAGTTTTCCACTGTATATGCATATGTAAACTAACTCTGTATACAGCCAAATATAACATAGGAAGAAAACTTTTCAAGAGAAAAACGGAAGATTCTGAGATATATAAACTCAGAAAAATCTAGTAATACACTGATTTTAATGAAAATATAAAAATCTTAGCAACCTTTAACTCACTTAATTTACTAGTCCATTTCTCATGGCTCCTGGCCATACTTTGAGAATTACTGCTTTATTCCACTCCTGAATTCACCCCTAATCTATCTATAGGTTATCAACAGACCAGTGCCCTTTATACCATCATTTAATTGATAATTATTTTTAGGTCAGTCCTCACTCAACAAAAATGTGCACACATGCAAAATTCTTCAAAAAATTTCAGTGTTCACAAATATCCTTAGGCCTATTCATAATCTAACAATCTCTATTTGAGACTTTTTTCTACAAATCTATGAACCACACCTTTTCTAAATGTCAGGGTATGAGAACAGAATTCATGCAGTGACCACTCCCATTCTGCTGAATAAGGTATTTTAACTATACCTTTAGTATATCAGAGATTATACTTGATTTTTGGTAAGAATATAGCTGTATTTTTATTTTAAAA